TATCACCGCCTGCGGAAGAGGGTCCTCGAGGGCTCGACGAGTCCGACGCGGAGGCCCAAAGGCCTCAAACCCATTACCTATACGACTAACCCATCACAGCGTAACGAGGAACGGAGGTCTCCGCCCTCCGCTGCCCTGACCCATTCCCCCTAGCGCTTTTTCTCGTCCTGATTCCTTAACGGCCATTCCGGCTTGTGGGACTCCCCCTTCCCGCGAGGAGGCGTATTTTTCCCATCGGGAGTCAGCGGCGAGGGTTCGATTCCTTGGCGACCTCTGGCTCGAAACCAGGAGATCCCCGTTTCGATCGGGTGACTCCGTCCATCCCTACGGCCTAAAATCCTCGGCCACACCCCCAACAACTCTAATCGGCGCGTAAGGGCACGCTACGCCGCGCGGGGTGTGAGGTTGGTATCATAGCTGATTCGTTTCGGCTCCGGGGTCCCTCGGAAATACTGAACGCCATTTTTGTTAATTTAAGAATTTTGAATAGGCTGGCGCCCAGGCGCCGCTGCCCCTTGAACGGAAATCGGGACGCAGCAAGGGGACGGGGTCAAATTTGGCCTCGCGCCATGGCTGAACGTGGACAAGGGGAGGCGAATCATGAGGATATGGCTGACCCACCTCTGTACTTGGTCCCTCCGCCCTCGGAGGTTCCGATCTTCACCGAGGATGAAACGGATCCACGCACGTGGCTAGCCGCCCTGAAGGCTCAAGGGTGGTCGGACCAGCTTCTCCGCGAACGAATCCCAGAATGGTTGGCGGGAACCGCCTTCGAATGGTATGGACAAAACCCCTATACCAATGGGGAAAATTTTTCACGATTGTTCCTGGGGCGTTTTTACTGCGCTTAATAAAAGAATACACGCAGCAGCCCCGTGAGACTTTAGCTAGATATGTCGAGCGGTTTTCTTATTTAGCAGAACGCTCCGGGGCAGACGAAAAGATGGTGCGAACCGACGTTGTTAGAGGATTGTCTGATTCTCGCTTGCGGAAAAAGATCTGCAAGAAATGCAACCCCATCGACGATTCCCTGACGGAGCTAATTAAATACGCTATCAAGTACGGTAAAGAGAACTACGATGTGGGACTGGATTCTGAATCAGATGAAGATGACCCTGGAGGCGTCCGACGCAACAACTATTCGGCTGCGGCGCGGATGTTCGAAGAGCGTTTCAGGTTAGGACTACCTAAGCAGGGTACGGAAACGAAAGGCGCCGCCGTTCTCGGTCCCCAAATGCTCTCCACCTACGCCAAGGGGGCGGGATGCAGACGATATATCCATGAAGGAGGTCGCCGCTCAGTTAGTGTCGGCGGTGACACCCTTAACCGAGTTCGTGCAAAGCCTGCAAAGGCAGCGAGCGGCTATGGTCGCTGGCTCCACTGCTGCACGTCCCCCTGCTGCAGGGGCCGTCCAGCCCATGCGGTGTCACAACTGTAACCAACCGGGCCACCTAGCGAAAGATTGTCCGAAGCCCCGGGCCCAAGGGGGATCCGCGGGACAAATTTCGTTAGCTGCCCCTACCGCTGCGGGGCAAGGTCGGGTAGCCACCGTTATGGACACTGGAGCGACAGAAATGGTGTCCCCCGCGGCCGCTGAAATAGGAATGGATGAATACATAACGGCGGCCATGCTTGAACCCGGAACCATTGGAGTGATAAGACACGCCCAACGGGTTACCGAGGAAAGCTATTTTGGGCCGTGGAGACCTGGGTTCGAGGACTTTGCGACACCTAGTCCTGAGTACAAGGACGGTCAGATCGACGTCCTGGACGCCATGAAGGCCTTAGATCTCCGCATCCCGGTGCCCATCCCTTACCGGCTAACCATTTCTGAGTCAGCCAATGAGAAACTAATCGAGCGATGCATGAAAAACCGACGCCGGTTCGACGAACCTTGAAAGGGCAAAAAGCTGGCCCTAAACGATTAGCTAAAAGCCGTCGAGGCCCAACCATCGACTTCGAAAACTCAAGAGCCGAACCCGATCGGGATGATCCAGGCCGCTGACCCTCTCTTTGAAAAACCTGAAGTATTCCTTCGGGCCTATCCGACTGTGTGTCCATTCAACTCGCAACGGGATTTATTCAACTCCGTTGAACCCGTTGAACGGCCATGAGGCCCGAGTTGAATCCCCGTTGAACGGTACAACGGGGGCTTCCTGTTGAAATCGGATCAACGGGTCGTGCCCAATGGGCCTCGGACACGTGGCAGGACACACGTGGAAAAAAAAAAGTGAAAAAAAAAAGTACAAAAACTACCCTGTGTGTGTGTCTGTGTGTGTCTGTGTGTGTTCATGTGTGTGTGT